CTCCTCCTCCTCCTCCTCGTCCTCCTCCTCCTCTTCCTCCTCCTCCTCCTCCTCCTCCTCCTCCTCCTGGTAGTCCTCCCCCTCCCCTCCTCCTCCTCCTCCTCCTCTTCCTGGTCGTCCTCCTCCTGGTCGTCCTCCTCCTCCTGCTTGTCCTCCTCCTCCTCCTGCTCGTCCTTCTTCTCCTGCTCCTCCTGCTCCTCGTCCTGCTCCTGCTCGTCCTCGTCCTCCTGGTCTTGCTCGTCCTCCTCCTCGTCGTGCTCTTGCCCCTGCTGAAAGTGTGGTCCAGGAATGGGAGTTCTGGGAAGTCGAAGAGCACGAAGTTGCCTACAGTTGGCTACGGGCATCCAAAATCTGGCCCGGGAATGGAGTTCTGGGAACTCGAAGACCACGAAGTGGCCTACAGTTGGCTCCGGGCATCCAAAATGTGGCCCGGGAATGGAATTCTGGGAACTCGAAGAGCACGAAGTGGCCTACAGTTGGCTCCGGGCATTCAAAATGTGGCCCGGGAATGGAGTTCTGGGGACTCGAAGACCACGAAGTGGCCGACAGTTGGCTCCGGGCATTCAAAATGTGGCCCGGGAATGGAGTTCTGGGAAGTCGAAAAGCACGAAGTGGCCTACAGTTGGCTCCGGGCATTCAGAATGTGGCCCGGGAATGGAGTTTTGGGAAGTCGAAGAGCACGAAGTGTGTGACTGTTGGCTTAAAATGAGTTCTGCGGCACCCTGTCCGGCACCCGCCCAGACCCCCCTGTGGAGTGATCTGTGAGCTCTTTTGAGACCACTAGAAACCTATCAGTCTACGCTGTTAGGTAACTATGGGGAAATAGGGGGGATCTGATTATTTGTGTGTATTTATTTGTGTGTCCCAGGGCCCTTTCGTCTGCGCAGGTGCTGCGAGGGAAAGAAACACACAGACACACAAATAGATACATACCAATCAAAATATTCCCCCTATTTCTTTTATTTTCTGGATTTCTGTCTTCCCCCCCCCCGCTTCCACATTTTCCCGTATTTTCTGGGGAATCGAGGATTCATTGTGTCTGTGTTTTTTTTTTCCTCTTGAGGTTAGGAGGGAAAGAAACACACAGACACACAAATGAACACATACACATAAAAAAATATTCCCCCCATTTCCCTATATTTTCTGGGGTTCTGTCTTCCCCCCCCGCTTCCCATATTTTCCCGTATTTTCTGGGGGATCGAGGATTCATTGTGTCTGTTTTTCTTCCTGAAGTCAGGAGGGAAAGAAATTCACAGACACAAGGAATCGTCGATTCCGCAGAAGATATAGGAAGATGTGGGAAGTTGGGGGGAACACAACAACCCCAGAAAACATGGGGAAACATATGGGGAATCTGGTCATTTGTGTTTCTTTACTTGTGGATCCCAGTTCCCCTTCACCGACCCCCGGGCGGCGCAGCTCGGGGCAGCTCGGGCGTGCCCTGCTGCGGAGGGCCAGGCTCGGGAGCGGCGCCCTCGATTCAGCCACGCGCAGGGGGGGGTTGGGGGGCGGGGGGAGGGCTTCTTAGAAGCACCCCTGCTTCTTAGAAGGCGCGGGCCTTGTCTATGGATGTAAGGCCGGCGCCTTCTAAGAAGCAGGCTCCTTCCAAGAAGCCCTCTCCCCTCCCTCCACCCCCTTGTGCTCGCCGCCAATCGATGGCGACGGCGGCGTCGTCGGCGGCGACCACGACCATGGTGACGACGACGTTGGCGGCGCCGACGATCACCAAGACGACGACGGCCACGACCTCGACGGTCGTCGATCACCACGACGATGACGTCGTGGCCCCACCTCGGAAGTCCCGAGGGTCCCACCTCTGGAGTCGGAGGTGGGGGTTCGGCCTCGCGCGCGACCCCGCCTGGTGCGCGTGCATAGAAAGTCGGTAAGCGTCAGCCGCCGCCGAGTGCGTTCGGCCCTGCTGACAGTCTGTTGGGCTGGCGAGGACCTCCTCCTCTTCCTCCTCCTACTACTACTGCTACTACTGCTACTACTACTACTACTACTACTACTACTACTACTACTACTACTACTACTACTACTACTACTACTACTACGACTACTACTACTACTACTACTACTACTACTACTACTACTACTACTACTACTTTACTACTACTACTACGACTGCTACTACTACTACTACGACTACTACTACTACTACTACTACTACCACTACTACTACTACTACTACTACTACTACTACTACTACTACTACTACTACTACTACTACTACTACTACTACTACTACTACTACTACTACTACTACTACTACTACTACTACTACTACTACTACTACTACTACTACTACTACTACTACTACTACTACTACTACTACTACTACTACTACTACTACTACTACTACTACTACTACTACTACTACTACTACTACTACTACTACTACTACTACTACTACCTCCTCCTACCTCCTCCTCCTGCTCCTCCTCCTCCTCGTCCTCCTCCAGCCCTGCTGACAGTCTGTCGGCTTCTCATCACATACAGTCATTTTGCTGAAATACAGTCCATTTTGCTGAAAACTGGCGTCGTTTCTTATTTATCGTCCTCTCCTCAGCAGCCCACTTCTGCTCCTACTGCATGTGAGCCGCCCCCCAAAGGGCCCACGCGCGCGCCCATACTTCTCAGAGCATACATGTGCTCGCAGGCGGGCGTCTACCGGCCATGCCATTGGGGCAACGACGTAGTCTATATATATATATATATATAGGTACTTGTGTAATATGGTTATGATATCGATTCCACTATCGATCTCAATATCCATATCACTAAACTTGAAACTAACCAACGATTGGGGATTCTCTCTGGTGTAGTATTAGAGATCATGAGACATGCAATAACAGGTCTGTGCTATATAACTGGTTCGGACGTGCGCTTCCAAGAGAGGCTCGGCGGCGAGCGAGGGGGGGAAGCGAGAAGCAGAAGAAGGCCTGACGCCACGGCGACCTGCGCAAGAGAAAGGAGAAGGTCTTCTCAGAAGGCGGCGGGACTTCTCAGAACCCCCCGCGCCTTTGACAGGTTTTCTGTGTCTTCGGGGAAGGTTTGGAAAACTTCTCAGCAGGCCGGGAGACTTCCGAGCCTTCCGAGAAGGCCTTCTCTTTCTCACCTCCCCTTTGCTCGCTGCCAAGAGGCGCATGTCGGGCTGGCGAGGGCCGATGATCATGGTCGGGAACTTCTGGTTGGTGCCTCGCTCCGCCTGCTGCTGGTTCTAGCGCAAAAGGCTTCGGCGCGACACGCGGTCCACATCCTGGTCCCCGGGTGTCGACTTCCTGAGCTTTCCGGAGCCCCCCGCCCCGCGGAGCAGAGCCGCACGCCATCCGCTCGCAGGAGCCAGGGTGCCGCCAGGGCCGCCGCCGCGGCACGCCGTCCAGAAAAGTCCACGACCGACCGCAGCCGAGAGGCCCACCTCCACAGCCCCGAGGCGGAGCCGCCGCCGCTCCTAGCGGCGCCGACGATCCCACGACGACGACGGCGGCCACGACGTCAGCGGTCCTCCATCACCACGATGACGACGTTCACCGCCCACCAAACCACACTAACCCAACCCGAAGGCCCCGATCTGCCCTGCATTTCCAGTGCGGGGGGGGGTCAGGGAACACAGAAAAAAACGCATATGAAGTCCGTACCCCCCCAAAACCCGAAGTTCGGACCTTCGAGCTGGGTAGGGGTGGTCTGGCACTCAGTCAGACGGCGAGGGCTCCGCCTCCGAAGCCCCGAGGCGGAGCTACCGCCGCCGGCGACGCCGCCGCGGCCGCAGGCGGCGACGCCGCGCCCGCCGCGCGCGCGGCGGCGGCCTCGCCAGGCTCCGGCGAGGCTCCGGGCGCAGCCGCGGCCGAGGCCCCCGCGCCGCCGAGGCGCCCGCGGCGAGGCGGCGCGCCGAGGAGGCGCCCGCCGCTGCCGCCGGGGCCGGCGGCGCGCCGTCGGCGGCGCAGGGCGCGGCGGCCGCGGGCGCGGCGCAGACTGCGGAGGGCCTGGCCGCGCGGGAGGAGGGAGGAGGAGGAGGAGGAGGAGGAGGAGGAGGAGGAGGAGGAGGGAGGAGGAGGAGGAGGAGGAAGGAGGAGGGAGGAGGAGGAGGAGGAGGAGGAGGAGGAGGAGGAGGAGGAGGAGGAGGAGGAGAGGAGGAGGAGGAGGAGGAGGAGGAGGAGGAGGAGGAGGAGGAGGAGGAGGAGGAGGAGGAGGAGGAGGAGGAGGAGGAGGAGGAGGAGGAGGAGGAGGAGGAGGAGTCGAGAACACGGTCCTGGACCGCCTCCCCGACGGCGACGGCACAGCGGCGTGACCGCCGCTGCTGTGGCTCAAGGCCACACGCATGACGCGTGCGCGGGGTGCACGCGTGGGCCCGAGGGCCCTGGAGCAATAGCGAGGTGCACCGAAGGCACTTCGAGCGGGGAAAGACGCCCCGCGACTTGGTAGCGGAGCCCTGGTCCACATCGGGCTAGGGTTCAGCGCTGTCACTGCGCGGCAGCCGGAGGAGTCCGGCTTCATGCGGGTCATCGAGGTGACCCACGGCGCGGAGGCGGTCTTCATCGAGGTGAAATACGACCCCTCCACAAACCACGATATCCGCTACGACAGCTTCGGCACTGGACAGCTTCGGTGCGAGAAGCATTCGGTATCACTGGCGTGAGCTTGCTCACAGATTACGTACACGATTGTTTGAAGAGACGGAGCACTTACATCTCGAGGTCATGGGCAGCCTCAAGGTCCCGCCGGCGTGGAGCCCAGAGCAGGACAGGCAGTACCCCTTCCGATTCTGGCTGACGGACGTGACGATGTGGGCGGCGGCGGCGGCGAGAGAGGTCATGCCCGAACAACGAGCTCCAGCAGCGGCGCTACGACTCGGAGGAGCAGCGAGTAGCTTGGCGAGAGAGACTCCCCCATAACAGCTACGAGATGGAGCCATAGCAGACCCAGGCGACGGAGCAGGAGCACGACAACTCACAGGACTGCAGCTCGTTCTTTCTAGATCATTCGCCCCGCGTGGTGACGAGAACGAGAGCAGGGCGACCTCGGACTTGCTGGACTTCTACCGCAAGAGCTACGAGAACATAGACCAGACGCTCAGCAGGTTCGAGGTCGCGCGACGACGGGCAGCGGCTCTTGGAGGATTTCAGATGGGACCACAGGGCTACGCGTGGATGTTGATGACTGCCCTGGGCTGTAGCCCTGCGGAGTGGAATGAGTTGCTGGTCCACTTCAGAGGTCACTTGCCGAGGACAGAGCAGCAATTCGCCGAGCGAGTTGAATGCATTCGACGGTACGGGCACGTTCTGGAGAAGGGGCCGATGTCGGTGAATCGAAGCAGCAAGGGCAGAGGCCATGGCCAGTTTTTTTTTCCGACGTTCAACTTCGGTGGCGGCGACGGACATCAAGATGATCAAGCAGATGGCTACACTGGCGGAGGCATGGCAGCATCGCGGGCCCCTTCGGCTCCCTGGGCGCCTACCGCGGCAGCGCCGCTGGCGCCAGATCCGTGGCGGGCCTACTACGGCAACGAGTGCGAGGAGAACGACACGGACACCGACGATGACGACGGAGAGGACCTGGGCGGCTCGGACTTCCCTGGACAGATCGGCCATGACGACGCGGCCATCCAGCAGTGCCTCTACCAGAACTATGTCTTTCATAAGAAGCGTTGGCGACGGTTTACAGGCAGACCTACGAGATTCCACAGGTACGGTAAAAGGTAAGGGTGGCAAGGGATCTCTGATCCCGTTTCGTGGAGGTGGAGCTTTCGGTCAACGTGGACAAGGCAAGGGCTACCACTTCGAAGGAAAAGGGCGACGTAATCCTACCGGACGCGACGGCAAGGTCACGAAGTGCCTCGCGAAGGGCTGCGAGAGCGAATTCCACCTGATCAAAGACTGCCCCCGCCGACAAGGCAAAGGACAAGGAAAGGGCAATAGCGTCACGAACGGACCCCGGCCGGCGTCAACGGCCACGGCGGCGGTTCCATGGTTTGGATTCAACGACACGTCAGCTACAGCGACAGCAGCGACGACGAGCAGCTCTGCCTACGGTTCTGGATCGGTGAGTTTCTTCGCCACATAGGCACCTAAGAACGACAGCGAGCAGAAGGCGAGCGCGAGCGTGGAGGGCTCGCATGGCTTCGCCGGCGTGGTGATATCGTCAGCGCAGCCGAAGGCCATTGAGGACAATGCCCCGGAGTAGCTCGGACCGAGACCGATGACGGAGAGCATGGAGCCACCAACGACAGGGTCGGCACTGTCATCGAGCGGCGGGCCCTATTTCCCGATGTTACCGACCTTGGGGGCCGCCAAGTTCGGGGAGATCACAAACGTGCCATCGGGGCCCACATTTGGAATCGGACATATCTTGGGACTTTCATCGATAGTGGCACCGAAGGATGAGGACGGAGACAGAGTATCGGAGCTACAGACTGCTGAAGTTCATCTCCCGAAGGCGACGACGGGAACACCAGCGAAGGCACCTCCGATGGCATCGGAGGTATTCGGCACCGAGAAGGCATACGAGAAGCAGAACCCCTCTTCGATCAACGTAGGTGCTGATCTTCAGCCCCGTTCCAGCGAAGATGGCGGTCCCACAGCGCGAGCAGCGGAGTTCAGGATTCGGCGGCGAGTTGGGGCAAGGTGTCGAGCGTGCCAGAGCAGCAGGTGGATTTGTCATCATTCGATTTCGGCACTGAGAGCTACTTTCAGCCTGGACACTCACGCGAACGTGAGTGCCCAGAACGCCCGAGAGGAGCGGGCGAGGTCGCCATTCCGGATGATGATGAACACACCGAGCATGACGGACAACACGAAGAAGCTGAGGAGGACAACGACGGCCTGCAAATTCCTCCGGACAAGTGCACAGGCGGAGTGGACTTCAGCGATGATCATGGAGGCTCCAACGGAGTTGTCAGGACCCTGGGGGAGAACCGCGGGGGGACCTACCTGGGACACGAGCGCGCCCGGCTCGACGGCGGCGAGATGGGCGCCCTCGTGGGCCCAGGAGCGCGCGGCAAACTCGTTGGAGAGCGCTGGGCACGACAGCAAGCGGAGAAAGCTAAGCACAACCAGCACAACACGGAGAAGACAAAACTGCGAGGACCCATGGAAGCCAATGGAGTTGGAAAAGGACCCGACTATTGCCATCAGCAATGGAAGATCCCCATCGGCGCGCAGGAAATTCTTTACGCTTCGCGCATCCCCGCCAGCCCATCTCACAACAGCAACTCTTGCGAAGCATGCCGACAGTCGTGTTTTGCAGGCGTGTGTCCGCTTGGCCCCGCATATCTCCCCTGGCACTCCTTCCCCCCGCCTCCTTGCGCATCCTCCTTGTGGGGGGGGGGGGCGGGAGAAGGGCGAGGCGGAGGAGGAGGGAGAGAAAGCGCTCCTCGTGGTTTGAGTCGTTTTGGCTTTCTCGTCCTGGTGTGAGTCGTTGGGGCCCTTCTTCCTGGTGTGGGTCGTTCGGGCTCTTCGTGGTGTGAGTCTCTCGGGCTCTTCGTCCTGGTGTGAGTCGTTCGGGCTTCTCGCGGTGTGAGTTGTTCGGGCCCCTCCTCCTGGCGTGAGTCGTTCGGGCCCCTCCTCCTGGTGTGACTCGTTCGGGCCCCTCGTGGTGTGAGTCGTTCGGGGCCCGCGTCGTGGTGTGAGTCGTTCGGGCCCCTCGTGGTGTGAGTCGTTCGGGCGCCTCGTCCTGGTGGGAGTCGTTGGGGCCCCTCCTTGTGGTGTGAGTCGTTCGGGCTCTTCGTGGTGTGAGTCGTTCGGGCCCCTCGTCCTGGTGTGAGTCGTTCGGGCTCCTCGTGGGGCCTCTTGGGGGCCTCTTGGAGCCTCTTGGGGCCTCTTGGGGGCCTCTTGGGGGCCTCTTGGGGGCCTCTTGGGGGCCTCTTGGGGCTTCTTGGGGCCTCTTGGGGGCCTCTTGGGGGCCTCTTGGGGGCTTCTTGGGGCCTCTTGGGGGCCTCTTGGTGGCCTCTTGGAGGCTTCGTGGGAGCGTCCTGGGGGCCTCTTGGGGCCTCTTGCGACCTCCTCAGAAGCGCAAATGAGCGCTGCCCCCTGAGAAGGACAAAATGAGCCCAAAACCTTCTTGTAAAATCAATGATTTTGCGACGAGCTTTCATGGGCGCTGGCCCCTCAGAAGGCCAAAATGGGGCCAAAACCGTAGTAAAATCTATGATTTTGGCGTCACAGAAGAGGAGATGTTTTTTTCTCCGGCCCCCCGTCGGGGCCAGAATCCTCGTGAGGGGTGTCGTTTTTTAGCCCTCCCAGGAGTCGAAAAAAGACTCCTCCAACGACCCGCGGAACCCCCTCTCCAGGTCCAGGGGGGGGGGGGGGGGGGGGGTAGGGGGAGGGGTAAACCCATCCCCGAAGGGGAAGAAGGGGGGTTGAGAACAGAGCGGGCTCTCTAAACCACTCACGCCCAAAGGGCTGGTGGGATTTATCAGGGGGGCGATGGTAGCGGCAACCTGGACACGCACACGGCCCCTATTATTCCTGGAAGCGATGTTCCTGCGATGTTGGGCAACAGTTCTACAGAAGCTCGATGCGATCTCGGAGCGCGCTCCCGGCATGCTACGTCTACGCGGACCCGTGCGCAGAAGGTTCGTTCTTCCAGCAGGGACTCGCAGCTACAACCTGAAGGGAAGCAGAAGCGGCCACTGGCTACTACCCTGTTCACGATTCAGAGAGGCATCGACTTCCAGCGGCAATACAGGATAATTATCGACCGACTGCAGCCCCACCCCGAGCGCTTGGACATCATGTGGGGCGATGTTCGGGGGGAGATGAGCGGCCTGGGCTGGGCGCTCAATGAGATGTCACAGCTGCGCGCCGAATGCAAGCAACGCGTGCGGAACAGGAGTTGGAATGGATTGCAACATTCGCTGAAGGTGCATTGCATATACAAGGGGTGCATTCCGAGCAAGAAGTGGGCCAGCATCAAGAGGATCTTCGGCGACAAGAAGGAGAAGGATGTGCGCTTTGAGGTGCTGCCGAATCCGGCAGCATCCTCGGGCATTTGAAGCCGTTCGGCGACGCCGCATCATCATTTTCATGCTCGTGTTCTTGGCCACCGCTTGGGATTGGCAACTACGATGCGCGCGGCGCGAGAAGGGGGATGGCCCGTGACGCAGGCGATGGCCTACGACCAGGTGAAAGGCAAGAAAGCGCGAGATCTGAAACGACACCTCACCGAAGGGCGCTTCCGGCTACTGCGGGCAGATCTACCAGGACGTCGAGGAGCTGAGCGAGGACAGCGACCACAACAGCGCCTACGACTTCTTGAAGACTGCGTGCGAGCACAGGTTGCTGGGGGCGGAGACGCCATGCTAATTGCCGAGCGTGGGAGCTCTACGCGGGCGGACCCGACGATCTTGAAGCTCAGACGAGAGGTCCCCCACGAGGTGGAAATGCATGGGTGTTCTTTGAACGTGCAGTCTCTACCGGGCGAGGCGGGGGAACGAGGGTGGAGTGGCCGAGTGGACCGAGCCCAGTCTACCTTCACGGTTCGAGCCCAACCATGTCAATGCTAAGGAAAAGGACGTCGGCACAAGAGTGATTGGAGGAGCTCGTTCGGAAGCGATGAACGCAGACAACAGCGAGACGACAGCACGCGCAGTACATGGTGGCAATGTTTCGGGAGATTAACGACGCCCTCTTGTTAGGGGATTACCGTTCACCACCAGAGTCGAGAATTGCGGAAGCGCCTGCGGGCGAGAACACGGCATACAACGTCGAGAATTCCTACCCGACAGAGGCGAGGATGCGCGCGAAGATAAAGTCGTTGACCGACAAACCGAAGGAGGCCAAGAAGCAGAAGTTCGAGATCGAGAACCACTTCGACGACTGCGGCGACAGTATCAAAGGCTTGGCCATGAACGACTCCCTCTTCGCTATCTATGGGGACACGGACATATTCTCGGACGACGACTATTACATTTTCCTGTTCGTGGAGGAGTTCTACGACGGCAACAGCTACGCATCATGCCTACGGGGAGTTGCCGGAGATGACGGAGCAACCTGGTACGAAGGACCTGGAGTCAGTAAAGCAGCGAGCCTCTCTCACCTCGCAGCGCACCTGGCGAAGGCGGCCTCCGGCATGGCCGCGTTGCAAAATTTGCGGAGGATGAGGCTACGTCTCCAGGATTTGCGCACGAAGGAAATGCAGAGCGGGACCCAACTTCGACATTGCTTGCGGTGCGGACTTGTCGGATCCCAACGAGCAGTGGACTCTGTGGCACTACTTGGAGCGTGGAGTGATGGTTGTTATCGTGACACCTCCATGTACTCCCTACGGACGTTTCTCCAGCGTAAATCTGATCAATTGGTACTGCTGAAGGGCGAGAAGCCACGTCGAGGGAAATATTATGGCCTGGGAGATTCGCGGTGGCTATCGCCAATGGCGCCGCGGACTACCTGTCGGAGAGAAAGAAACGCAGGCGTATCCCGGGGCAGCGGCGGCAGCGCCACTCGATGAGCGCGGACCCTGGGTTCCGCCCTGGGACCCGCCACCTCCTCCAGATCCACTGCCGGAAGGCGCTGGCAGAAGGAGATTATCCAGGAAAACAGAAGACTCCGGAGTGCCAGCACCTGTTCCTGAAGATGCACCAGCACCAGCACCAGGACCACCAGCGACAGCGATTCGGCCACCAGATCCGAGG